TCCCTGGCCAATTCTTTGAGAAGTGGATGGCCTCTTCCTTCTTCCTACTCTGTCTCAGTCTATAAGCTGGGCTGTTACCTGTGTACCACGTGCATCCCACTGGGTTTGAAACGCCAGTGGCTCATCCTCAAAACTCACATCAACACGTCACCACGGTAGGACAAACCGACAGACAAGTTTGTCTCTCTGTTGGAAACCTCTCGTACCACCCTTACCTGGATCCCTGCGGCTGACTGCCAAGGACTATATATATATATATATACACACAACTATTATTGTCTTCTTCAGTAGAATGCAAGCTCCATGAGGGCAGCAATTTGTCTGTTTTGTTCACTTTTGTATCTCTAAATGTTAGCACAATCCTTGGCCATAATAGATAGTCATATTTATTGAATGGATGAATAAAGTAAAATCCTTATTTCTGAAAATTTGTACTCTTCAACAGCTGATGAAGCACACTGTTGTGTATGTTTAAAATAATCCACTAAAAACTGTTGACTATATAATGCCTTAAGGATGACATGGGGAAACAATTTGCCTTCTACTCTCAGATAAGACATACCTTCTCACTATTCCATAAACAGCAATAAATAAGTTGTTAAATTTTCATGTATTAAAACACTAAAGATAAAAATGAAAAAGAAGTATGTACCAAACTGTTTTGGCAAAAGTTGTATCATGCTTCATTTTGACCACTGTGCCTTCATTTTTATAATGCCTATATGCAACTATACAAATAAATATATTGGAACTATGTGAAATAAATACCTCTGATTATTCTTACCTGAAGGAACATAGAATGAATCCCCAGTAGTGATTAGATAAGGTGTTTCATGTAAGGTACACAAAAGGTCACCAAAGTCAACATAAAAAACCTGAAAAATTAAAAGCAAAATTCTCATTTCAAGTTAAACAACCACATCAATGACATTTCAAGGAACGTTAAAGGAAGCATAGCAGTCAGAAAATGACCCCCAAAGATGACGACAACTCCCATCGTCAGAACCTGTAAATATGTTAAATTGTATGTCAAAGAAACCCTGAAATGATGGCATTATTCTAGAAGATCCACGTTGGCCAAATCTTAATTACATGAGTCTTAAAAGTAGACACTTCCCCATTAAAAGTAAAAAAGCAATGAGGCACAGGGAGAAGTCAGAGAAATCTGAAGCATGAGAAGGACACATGCTGTTGTTGGCACTGAAGATGGACTGAAGTGGGCCACAAACCAAGCAAGGCAGGCTCCATCTAAAAGCTGATTTAAAAAAACAAAACAACCCCAGCCAACAGCCAGCAAGGAAACAGACTTCAGGTTTACAACCAAATGGAACTGAATTCTGCCAATAACCTGAACGCGCTTAGAAGTAGCTTCATCCCCAGAGCCTTCAACAAGGAATGCAACCCAGTTGACATCCTGATTCGGGCCTTGTAAGACTCTAATCAAACTTCTAACTGATAGAACCTTGAGATAATAAATGGATGTTGTTTTAAGACACTATATTTATGGTAATTTGTTAGGGCAACAATACAAAACTAATATGGGAAGAAATTTCTTTTGTTCTTCTTTATTATTTATTAGCTTATGAAAATTCATGTGTGTGTGTAAAAATTTTCTATGTTGCATATTTTGCTTAAATGTTTATATTAAATGTTTTGAAATTTGGCTACTCTTCAAAATAATGTATTTAAATTAATACAAAAAATGTTTAGTACAGTGCCTGGAACATGTAAGTGTTATAACTGCTTATTAATATATAATGGTCTATCCTATCACTAAATCAAAACAAATATAACAATTTTCTTCCAGCAGCACATTTCACTGACTCCTAATTTTTACAATTATAGTTAATGCTACAATAAATAACTTCATATGTTTAGTTTCTCCTCTAAATTTATTTCCTTAGGATAAATTTCTACAAATGAGATTCATAGGTCAAGGGGTATGAACATTTTTCTAATGATTTCTACTCAGTAAGTATAAAATGCAGTTTATCTTTAGTGTAGATTCCTTTGAATATTAGCCACTTTTTAAACACTTTCAAAACTTTATTTCCTTTTATACACTAAGGGAGCTCTGGTGGCACAGTGCCTAAGGAAACTGCTAACCAGAGGCTGGCAGTTCAAACCCATTAGCCACTCCTCAGAAGGAAGATTGGGCATTCTACTTTCATAGAGATATTATCTCAGAAATCCAAGGAGGGTTCGCTATGAGTTGAATCAATTCGATGGCAGTGAGGTTTTTTTTTTTTTTTAATATAATAAAGGCATTAAATATAATAAAGTTTAATAGGTACTGATCTTCAGTGATGACATTTCATAATGCTTATCTTTACTTTTAATTGTACTTCTGCTGTTATGCAGGGACAATATAACTCTTTGGGTCTCTGGTGGCACAGTATGTAAGGCATTTGGTTAACTAGAAGATCAGTGGTTCAAACTCAGCAGCTGCTGTGTGGGAGAGACATGAGGCAATCTACTTCCATGAAGATTTACAGCCTTGGAAGCTCAAGGTGGGGGGGAGGGTCGCTATGAGCTGGGATTGACTCGATGGCAGTGGATTTGGTTTTTTGGTTATCTAACTCTTTAGTTATTTAAATGTGTTTTTTTAAATCTTTTAATAATACCTGGAGATATATACATTTTGTGTTGTTGTTAGATGCCATTGAGTATGTTCTGGCTCATAGTGAGACTATGTACAATTAATGAAACACTGCATGGTTCTGCACCATCCTCACAATTATTGCTATATTTGAACCCAATGTTGCTGCCACTGTGTTAAACTTTGTTGGTCACGCTCTACTTTACCAACCATGATGCCCTTCTGTAGGGACTGGTTCCTCTTGATAACATGTTCAAAGTACATGAAACAAAGTCTCACCAAGCTCAGTTCTAGGAAGCACTCTGGCTCTATTTCTTCTAAGACTGATTTGTTCATTTCTCGGACAGTCCATAGTATGTTCAATATTGTTTGCCAACACCATAACTGAAAGACATCAATTCTTCTACAGTCTTCCTTCTTCACTGTCCAGCTTTTGTACTCTTATAAGGCAATTATAAAATACCATGGCTTGGGTCAGGTACACCTTAGTTCTCAAAGTGACATCTTTGCTTTTGAATACTTTAAAGAGGTCTTTTGTAGCAGATCTGCCCAATGCAGTATGTCAATCAATTTCGTGATTGCTGCTTCCATGGGTGTTGATTGTGGATTCAAATAAAATGAAATCCCTGACAACTTCAATCTTTTATCCATCTACGTAATGTGGCTTATTAGTCTAGTTGTGAGGGTTTTTGTTTTGTTTATTTTGAGGTGTAATCTATAGTAAGACTATGGTCTTTGATCTTCATCAGTTTCAAGCCCTATTTGCTTCAGCAAGCAAGGTTATGCCATCTGCATACTGCAAGTTGTTGGTAAGTCTTCCTCCAACCCTAATACCACCTTCTTCTTCATATAGTCTAGCTTCTCAGATTATCTGCTCAGCATACACACTCAGTAAGTGAAAAGGATATAACCCTGCTGAACAACTTTCTTGATTTCAAACCACAGTCTCCTCTTGTCCTGTTCAAACAACTGCTTCTTCGTCTACAAACAGGTTCTGCCTAGGCACAGCTTAAGACTAGATTAATTTTCAGACTGGCTTAATGAATATTTAAAAAGAGAATTCTTAATGACACTGATGTAGCGATAAAAATATTAATCTCTGATTCATACATGTACCTCTCCCTTTCCTTACCTCACTCATTTTCCCCCTTTCTAATAAAAACTGAAGTCTTATCGCTTTTTTTCCTTCCTTTTTGAGCTTGTTTTATTACTGTCAGTAAAAGGAATTATTTTGAACATGATACTCCAATAACTCATGATTTCACAGGTTCTTGAAATGGCAAATACAGAAAAATGGTATTTTTAATTATTGGTACATGTGGTAGTTAAAGTTGTATGTCAACTTGGCTGGGCCTGGTTGAGGGGCTGGGCAGCTGGTGGTAGTTATTCCCCATGATGAGACTGGCAATCAACTCCATGGTGGGATCTACCACAAGCAGCTGAGTAGCTGCATTAGGGATGTGGTCTGCTTCCCATATATAAGCAGCAGCTCTGGGACTGGTCTCTAGCTTATGTATGGTATGCTTGAGCCCTGCATGTAGCCATGCTCTGTCGATCTTGGGACTTTAACTTGAACTAATAGCCTGCTGTGTGGTTTGGTAACATTGGGACTGTGCCTTTTTACTCATCAACCTTGGGCTTCTCAGCCTCAGCAGCCAGCAGCTGTCTGAGTGAAGAAAAGCCTCTAGCTCCATGGGCTAGAAGCAGGAGGCAGAGCTGAACCCCAAGGTTGAGGGGTTTTCACCCAACCCCTAGAGCCTGGCACTTTGAACTCAGACTTAAAGCCTCCAAACTGTAAGAGAATACACCCCTGTTTGTTCAAGCCATCCCATTTTTGGTATATTCTTGTCAGAGTGGCACTAGGTAACCAGAACAGTATATTATTAAATATTCTTATAACTTGGTGCTTTCCAAATTCTATAATTTTCAAACTCAGGATACAAAAATATAACATTATATTCTATTGCAGAGGTGTCTTTCTAATGTTTGCTTTTTTTTTTTTTTTTCCCTAGACACATACCATGACACGTAGGCTACTCTATAATGTATTAAGAGCTAAGAAAATGGCAAGTAATGTGAGTTGTTTTTTCTCAACTGTTGGGAGATTTCATGTAATTTGAAATGAAGGAAATATAAACCAAAGGCAGTAGAGATTTAAAGGCATTTCTAAAAGCTGATCACTTACATATTCAACTTTAAACCATTTGTTTTATATGAACAAACCAACACAGCTATAGATACTCTCCTCTTTCCCTTGAAACCCTGCTTGTTCCTTTGTCCTCTCTTAACAGTTTACAAGTAATATTACACCATTTTTTATAGTGTGTTAAAGTTAATTTGTTAGGTATCATCACCACTTTACTCCTAGACAGAATTCTTTAAGAATTTATCCTAGTAGTATGCCCTCAATAAATGTTTTCTGAATTAAAGATAAAAGTTTATAAAGAATAGTAATTGACAATGCTTGGATACTTAAATATTTACAGTTATCTATCACTTATAACCACATTCTTCTCCTTTGCCAGTGATCTGAGGTGTCCCAGGCTTTAATAGCACATTAAAGGTAATTCTCTACCATTTAGTAATTCTCTTCTAAATCATCATTCTGACCAGTTTTTACATATCCTCTATAATACAGCTTTACCCTATGTGTAAGAAACAGTATTGTTAAGAAGGCTACAGTCTCAATTTGCCCTAGAATATTTCAATCTATGCATTATCCAATGTAACAAAGAGCTTTGGTATTGCAATGGTTGGGTCTTTGCCTGTATAATTTGTAGTTGTCAGAACAGTGTCTTTATTGCTCTTCCATGTTTAAGTGTACTTCCATACTTTTATTTATACTTGTTTTAACTTCCATAACCCTTCCTGAAATGGCTCTCTTCTTCTTTGCTAAACCCACTGCTGCTGAGTTGATTCTGACAGCGATCCTATAGGACAGAGTAGAACTGTCCAACAGGGCTTCCAAGGCTGCAATCTTTATGGAAGCAGATGGCCTAATCTTTGTCCCATAAAGTGGCTGGTGGGATTGAACTGCCCATAGCTAATTGCTACTAATATTTTTTGGTACAAGTTATGATATAGTGATAAAAAGCACGAATTTTGAGCCTAACAAAATACCATTTACTCAGAATGACCCTGGGTAAGTTACTTAATCTTTCTGAGTCAGTTTCCTCACCAATAAATAATAGATATAACAGACATAAAAGAGACACTATATGTGAAGGGCTTAGCGTAACATGTGACATTTAGTAAGTGCTTACAGTAAATGATACTTGAGAGTATAAGTGTACGACTCACCTTAAATCTCATAATAACTTCAGACTGTAATACTGTTATATATAATAGTATATTGCTCAGTACTTGTTGAAGCAATTGGCTCCTAGTCCTGAGTCTCCTGCTAATTAGTCGGCTTCTGAAGAAGTCTTTTGAACTATTTCTCAATTACATGATCTGAGAAATTAGGAATTAGACTTAATCTCCATATTCCCTTCCAGCTCTAAAATTCTAATGATGTATTTGCAAATTTATATTCTAAGATTCTTTTAAGAAAATTCTTTAAACTTCTGACTCTCAAGGCTACAGTGCCAGACACAGGATAAATATCACCCAAAATAAATAAACAAAACCGATCACCATTGAGTGGATTTTGACTCACAGAAAACTCCATTGGGTTTCCAAGGCTATAAATCTTTATGAAACTCGTTTGCCCTAACTTTCTGCCATGGAGCAGCTAGTGTGTTTGAACCACTGACCTTCTGGTTACCAGCCAAATGTCTTAACCACACCATACCACCAGAGCTCCTCAGACCTAGAATAAACAAAAAAAAACCCAAAAAAACACAAAATCACTGCCATCAAGTCAATTCCGACTCATAGCGACCTCTCCTTGGGTTTTCAAGGCAGTATTGTTGCTGTTGTTGTTATGTGCCGTTGAGTTGGACCTGACTCATAGTGATCCTCCTTGGGTTTCCGAGGCAGTATCACTACGGAAGTAGATTGCCCAACCTTCCTTCCGAGGAGTGGCTGGTGGGTTTGAACCGCCAGGCTTCTGGTTAGTAGTCAAGTGCCTTAGGCACTACGCTACCAAAGACTGGAAATAGATTGTCCAGTCTTCTTTCCAAGGAGTGGCTGGTGGTTTGAACCGCCAGCCTTCTGATTATCAGTAAAATGCCTCAGGCACTATGCCACCAGAGCTCCTTTATAAATAATTGTTGGTTGATTGAGTAACTTTTAGCCCCTCATCAAGTTCAACTTGATGAGGGGCTAAAAACATTGAGTCTATTTACTCAATCAGGAGCTCTGGTGGTATAGTGCTTAAAGCATTTGACTAGTAAACAGAAGACTGGCAGTTCAAACCTACCAACCACTCCTCGGAAGGAAGAATGTGCAATCTACTTCTGTAGTGATACCACCTTGGAAACCCAAGAAGGGGTCACTATGAATCGGATCCGACTCGATGGCAATGAATGAGTTTTTTTTTATTTTATCAAGTTCAACAAATAAATACTGTCCCCATAGCAAAAGATACATATATGGAAAAAGGTAAATACTCACCAATGTATCTAGGCCAACATGCTGCTTTCCCTTTTCTTGACATGGTCCTAATATTAATTTTCCAGTAGAAAAAAAAGGTGTATCTAATGTTTTATATACTCTCAACTCCTCATGCTCAACAAAAAATTGGTATGTATCGTGTGGCCTTATAAGATCTAGGGGTAAAACAGCGATATAAATATAAAGCAATAGCAATGATACTGCTCAATATAGTAATATATACACATACATGTACAATAAGAGTTATTTCTAAATATAAACCTGCCTTAGTAAAGCAGAAGTAATTAATGACTAAGATGATTACTAACTCTAAGCTAAAGTGCTGGAGGGTTAAATATTGCCTCTGTTATACCAGCTGTATGACCTTAGGCAAGTTACTTAACCTCTCAGTTTCCATTTTCTTTACTGTAAAAGGGGATAATAACAGTTCATCTATGATAAACAGGTGCTGTGAATATCAAATGAACTAATATGTGTAAAATATTTAAAACACTGTCTGGCACTAAGTAAGCACTATGTAAGTGTTAGTTATAAATAATGGCAGTATTATTATTACTATTAAAGAACACTAGGGGAGGAAAGACAAGAAAGAATTTCCCATCTTTAAAAAACTTCACATATAAATATATCATCGCTATGTCAATAGATTCTTTTGAGTTAACCTGACTGATGATTAAATAAAATTTTTATTTGTCAGATAAAGGCTATGAGAAACCAGAGTTCCAACTGGTGCTCACAACTGCAATCTCACCTTGGAATTTCCTTTTTCCTTACAAACATTTCCAGATCTATAACATGTTCATGTATCAGCAACAGCTTCTGACTCTATTTCCCCGGATATATAGGAATGTGAACAATTCCACAGAGTAGGATACAAAAAATGCAAAGACTCAAGAAATAGACAAAAAATAGATAAGCTCCTGACAACTTAAAACTTATCTGATCTGTTACCATATAGTAACTTTTAGTTTAACATTACACAAAACTCTGTAATTCTACTCCTGCTGCCAAATAAACAATCTAAATATGGAAATAACTTTGCTATGTAAAATGTCTTAGCCAAGATTTTGAATAAAAATTCCATTACTGCCTCTCTGGTTTGACCTACTTGTCCACTGACTTAGGACAAATATTACTTGGTACACACTGGTACAGTTTTAATAGTTGTTAAAATATTTAAATATTTTCTGTATCTAAATATTACCTGATTGGTAAATAGGCCAATGTCTCCTACTGGTCCTCGGCCTAACAGAAAGTCTCCATAGGACCACCTGTGGCCTTTTCCAATACAGAAGGAAAGGAGCTCTGGTGGTGCAGGGCATAAGGCAACTGACTGCTAACCAGAAGGTTGGCAGTTCAAACCCATCAGCCACTCCACGGAAGACAGATGATGCAATATACTTCTGTAAAGATTTACTGCCTTGGAAACCCAATGGGGGTCACTATGAGTTGGAATCAACTCCATGGCAGTAGGTTTTGGTTTTAACACTAAAGGAGACTTCTAGGACCATGGGCTAGCCTTAAGGTTTCACATTCTAGGTACCATTCTTGGCATCCCAAAGCCTAGAAAGCTGTCGATGCCTTGCCCACAATCCTTGACTGCCTCTAAGGGTGGTGACATGTGTCATAGGGTCTGCCAACTAACTTCCTACAATTCCCATAAACAGCCCCTGTTCTCATGTGTTCTGATCAAACAAGGACTGGACCATGTTGAGGGAGCCAATGCTCCCATAGGCAGTACTTGTGCCCCAAAGGGCAAATACAACGTGCCATATATTGCCTAGAGGTTGTCTGCAATCAGCCCTTCTTCAAAGTTGTCCTAATATGGACTGCCTACTGGAATTATATCCTCTGCTGGACTTTAGCTCTAAAAGAGCTGGTTAGAGAAACAGAAAACAGACAGGCTGGTCATCAGGCCAGCAGTTTATTCTTACTAGTTATTAATAAATAAAGTATTTTCAATATCATCTCTGATCTTACCCATGAGAATACTCTCTCTTGTTTCTGGGTCCTTTACCATCGTTGGCTGAAAAGGATCTCCTAGGGGTATATTCAGATTTGCCACTAATTTATTCTCTGCAAAAGAAATACCACTGAAATACAAACTACTTACTTGAAATTCTGCTCTATTATATATACACATATATCAAGTACAGGATGAAATGCAACTATAGACAAGTTATGAAAGAAAACTGCCAGAGACATAGTAATCTCTTCTCATTTATAAGTTACTACTCAAAGAAACAAAATTTCTAATTAAAAAACCCAATGATTTAATGTAAAAGCAAACACCTTAAACTTACTAATTACTATAAGCCAATAATGACAGTGCTTAAACTCTTGCATTACCAAGAAGTTAAATGGTATTTTGCATATTCTCTAAGAAAGCTGGAAGTATATAACATATTTTAGAAAAATGTATTAAAATGTATATTTTTATCATGGTTTGAGCATGGAAAATATAAGCCTCATTTGACAAGGCAAGTTATTCAGGAGAAAATGTTTTATATTATGCTATTGATAAATTTTTTTAAAGGAAATAAAATCAATTTACTTTTTAAATTTAGAAAAAATCAGACATTAAAATAAAATTTTACTGGTAGTATTATGTCTGAAGTTTTTAAAGGAAATTTTAAAATATGCTCAGAGCATCTTCTTAAAGGACTATGCTATTAAAATAAAATCTAAAAATTATTTTCAAGAATAAATTCATACTTATTTCATTGTTATCAAGACAGATCCTTTTCTTATTAGTTATTTTGTTGACTTTTCCTGTGTTTCCATTTGCCTTCTTCCCTTTAGGTGACATTGTGTCTGGGGATAGTACTCCACCAACCACAAATCCTCCTGAAATTTAACAACAACTACAAAAAGTTAAAATCACACTTGGTAAAGTGAAAAGCTTGAAACAAATCTCTTTAAATTAATATAATACATTCTCTTTCAAAGTACTAAAGAATACACTACTATAGCAACATTCTAATAATTCAAATAGCACAGATATCAACCAATTTCACTTACGTCTTTCTACTTTAACTCTAAAAACACTGATAAAACATACTTCCTGCTTGAAATCAAGGGAGTTTTAAAAAACAAAAACAAAGATGAGGTATGAACTATTTATAATAATCCACAAATGAGTTTTTTTCTTTGATTTAGATATCATCAACAAAGAAAAGAAATAGCTTTAAGGTAACACTATATTCTCCTGTCTAATGTTTACCTTTTTTTTTTTTTAGTAAAAATATGAGGAAATGGATAAAAACAATTAGGAATACTTCAATTTTACCAGTTACAATTTCTCATGTTCTCATCTGGTATTTCATTATACTCAATTAAGCTGGTAACATAAAAAGCAAGTCACAGTGCTACCTCAAATAGCTAACAAAGAAAAAAAATCAGAATCTCTATAGGAATCGAACAAATCTGGATTTGAACTCCTTTCTTGTCACATTTGGGGGACTGGAGGTAATTAAATGAGGTAATGTATACAAATGTGTAGGACAGCATGCAGCACATAGTAACAAACTGCACCAGTTCTTACTATTTTATTACTGATGGACATTAACACAAATCGGGTTTTACCTGATAGTCTTGCTTGATAATCTATTCGTTCCCCTCGCCAGTATTCCAAAGGTTTCAATCGTATTCTCTTGGTCCTGCGAACATTTGGTGTATTGGAGGGCAATACTATTAAAGAAAAAGAGTACACATATAAATGTTACCTTTTAGAGTATTAATACTTCCAGCCAAATGACTATAAAAACAAAATTTTAAGATACATTTATTTTAATAATTAAGAAATGTCAATGAAAATATAGGCTACCAGACTGCCAGATATTTTAAAACTTGATATTACCCAAGGTTAGCAATGTTAAAGGTACATGTTGTTGTTGTTGTTGTTATGTGCCATCGAGTCGGACCTGACTCATAGCGACCCCTCCCTGGGTTTCCGAGGCAGTATCACTA